GAAGTTGTATAGGCCAAGTAGTCTAGAGTGACGTCATGTGTAAAGATTATTAAGAACGAGGCGGCGCCAAAACAAGGATTTTTTTTTTATTTAAAATTTATATAATGTAAAGCTCCAAAAACAAATTTAACAGAGTGATCGTTTCGATTCTTTTTAATCAATCTTGTTTGAATACAAAAACTCACACACACAAATCTCTCTCTCTCTCTCTCTCTCTCTCTCTCTCTCTCTCTCTCTCTCTCTCTATATATATATATATATATATATATACAGTGGGGGAAATAAATATTCGTACACTTGAAAAATTGTATTTTTATAAATGTAAAAGCCTTAAATAAAACACATCTCAGCACATTATATGTATAAAGACACATACTATTAAAAAGTAATAATAAACTTAATTAATTCTTATTCTAACAGAAATTAATGCATTTTTTTAAATTTTAACTGATGAAAAAAGTATTCGTACAAATCAATTATTAGAATAAAATAATCAATTAATTATGAAAAAAGTACATTCTAGAATGTTTCAGTAATGTTATCAGTAATTATCGTTAACGCTATTAGGCATTATCAGAGCATTCTCCAATTTCTAGTCTTACGAGAAGGTTCTAATAATGTCTAAAGGTAAAGAATTGACTATTTCACAAAAACAACACATTTTGTCTCTTTGGAAAGATGAGAACAGTTACAAAACGATTTCTAACAACCTGAATATTCCTTTTACTACAATTGTTTCGTTCATTGCAAGGTTTAAAACTCGTAACAGCGTCGAAAACCAAATATGAACTGGTGCTCCGGGGAAGATTTATCTAAGATCAGCAAGGATATTAGGACGCCAGATCCAACAAAATCCACAGGTTACCTGAGAAGAGCTGCAGGAACATCTGCGTGCATTAGGGATTAAACTAACCAAGCGTACAATAAGTAATGAACTACACAAAAAAAGTCTGAAATCACGCATCCCAAGGAAGACACCACTCCTCTTGAAACGACACAGAGATGCTAGGCTAAAATTCGTTAGAGAGCATAAGGATAAAGAATATTCGTTTTGGGAAAAAGTACTATGGATAGATGAAACAAAAATAGAGTTGTTCGGTGATAATTATCAAAATCCTGCGTGGAGGAAGGACGGTGAAGCCTACTTACCAAAGAACACGTTGCCAACTGTAAAGTTTGGTGGTGACATTATCATGATCTGGGGCTGTTTTCCTGCAAAAGGTGTTGGCAGAATATCAATAATAGATGGCAAGGTGAATGCCGAAATATAACAGAAAATCCTGCAAGACAATTTAATGCGTTCTTTTGAGAGACTTCGGCTACCTTCTGATTGGGTTTTCCAACTGGATAATGATCCTAAGCATACCGCTGGATCTACAAGGAAATGGTTTGCTGAAAGTAACGTTAATGTCTTGCAATGGCCATGTCAGTCCCCAGACTTGAACCCAATCAAGAATTTATGGCGATATTTGAAAATTCAAATTGGGAAAAGAGCACCAACAAATATCAAGAATTTGAAGACAATATGCCAAGAAGAATGGAATAAAATACCACTCAATGTGTGCAAATCATTAGTTAAGACGTACAGGAATATACTGGTAGCTGTTGAACTCAAAGTATTAAATTAATATGCTTTTTTTCGTTCTGTACGAATACTTTTTTCATCAGTTAAAATGAAAAAAATGCATTAATTTCTGTTAGAATAAAAATTAATTAAGTTTATTACTATTTTTTAATAAAATGTATCTTTACACATAAAATGTCTCAAAATTTGTTTTAGTTTAGACGTTTACATTTATAAAATACAATTTTTCATGTGTAAGAATATTTATTTTCCCCACTACATATATATATATACATATATATATATATATATATATATATATATATATATATATATATATATATATATGATAATGATATCATTTGGTATTCCGTATGGATAGTTCCAAAAGTACCAGAACAGTTCAATGTAAAACGGGAAAACATTAATTAATATTAAGAAAAAGACAACTTTAAGGTGACAGGGTTATACATTTTCCTTAGAACCGAAATTTTTATTATAATTTATCAGACCGTCTATTATATATATATATATATATATATATATATATATGAAAAATATAGTTTTAAGGTATGCTATATTTATGGGATAAAGTACTCAATATCAGAGATAGAGCGTATGTAAATATAAAATATAAAACATTGAATTCAACTCAGAGGCGACAGCGCGTTTCATGCTAAACAAAATGTAGGAGTTTTGATCAAAGGTTGATGAAATATGGATCGGAATAAAGAACAAATAGGCAAACGTCTATCAATCCGACATGTTTCCCTTTATATTAAAGCTTCTTTAGAGACTTTGACGGGGCTTTATGTGTTTTGTGTTGGTTTCAGTTTATTCAGGACGGAACGAAAGACAAAACTGAGAGTAAGGAATGAGTTGAGATTTTTGAGTATAAAAGAGACAATAAAATGGAACAGCATCAAATGCAATGTTCCAAGATCAGGAAGTTTTTGGTTGTTTGATGAGACACCGAAGAAAGACAATATGAAAATATAAGGGGAAATGTTGCATAAAAACGCTGGTAGTTCGACGGAATATAGCTGACCGCAAATTCGACTTAATAAATGTCAGTCTGATCAGGTAAGAAAAGCATTTACCAAGAGAGGGCGCTAACCTCAACATTCTCAACAATAAACCTGATCATCGCAAAAGGAATAGTTGCACAATACCGTATAGGTGTCAATAGAGAATAAAAAAACGGAGATCTACTCAGAGTGGGCTGATTAAAAATCCAACAGACACAAATGATCTTTTTATATATATATATATATATATATATATATATATATACTCTTAAGGCGTGCTATATTTATGGGATAAAGTGCTCAATATAGAGACAGAGCTTGTGTAAATATAAAAGTGAACATTGAACTTAACACTTAGAGGTGACAGGCTGTTTCATGCTAGAGGCAATCGTCAGGCCATATATATATATATATATATATATATATATATATGTACATACACTTTCTAGTTCCTGTTCATCTGATCTGATGTAATGTAATTTATTGGCCCTCTTAAAAAGCTCTTAATCTGTCTGCGAAATGATGGCAATATATCTGCTACGGTCTTTCGACATGTATGACATAGGCTTGTATAGAGATGACGGCATTATGGCCCTAAGAAGAAAAGTCCCAACATGAGTTGATATTAAATGAAATGCACTATGTTATTTAAGGGTCATGCTTTTAATTTGGGAATTGCAAGAAGACTGGCTTCATGGTTGTTATCAAGCGACACAGCCCAACATGAAGATTACAGTGTGGAATTGCCGAAATAAAAATAAGTACACAAACTTAGATATGCCGGAAGCGTATTAAGAAAGGGCGGAAAGTGCGAAACGGAAATCCGTAGACGCATTAGAATATTAAAAGATGCCTTCCAAATGCTAAGCAAAGAATTAAAAACAGAAATATATCGTTAGAAACAAAGAAAAGAGTACTGAACCGTTTACGTAATAGAAGTCTTCTTCTATAACAGTGAATGCTGGAACATCTCTTCACCAATTAAGAAGAGACTTGAAGCAACAGAAATGTGGTTGTACAGAAGGATGCTGAGAATACCGTGGATATATATGTGAGCAAAGACAAAGTTCTAGAGACAACGTCAACAAAAAAGAAAACTTGAGACAATTGAAATTTCTAGGACACATAATGATGAAAAAGGATTGGAAAATTTGATTCTTATATGGCAGATTGAAGGTAAGAGGGTCAGGTGCAAACAACGCACAGCTTGAGCTTGAGCAAATGGATGACGGAAAAATGTTTGGGAAAGATGTCAAAAAGAGTTATTAAGAGCTACAAAGGAGAGGAAATTGTGGAGAGCCATGGTCGCCAATGCACATAGACGAAGAAAAAGATGTTTAAAAAAATCTAAAGAAAACCTAAGTCTTGCAATGACTAAAATTAACGCAAATCTTGTACTCATGGATTTGCTTTTCCGAAATTCAATTTCCGAACATTTTTTTCTAGTATCTTGCGAATGCACGGCACACGATAGCAGGTTCAGGTAGTCGACATCTGCAGGGGTCATTGCTCTAGGTTTCTAGTTGTAACGATATAGCCACGGATGTCCGTCTGGCGACATCTCACGAAAGAAAAGTCACAACGGAAAGCCTAAATGCATATCTATATTTGCAGTGTTTGATGTTGTTTTATTTTTTAACTTTCAGTATGTCTACAAGCAAGAAAAATAGCTTCATACGGGTATGGTATACGACGCAAAGGTGTAACAGCTAGAAAACTTTGTGAATCACTATTTTATAATCATATTCATTGACAACATCAATAAATATTGTTAATACAAGGGTATCGTAGAATTTGCAACTCCTTCACTGACTACATGTCACTAGTGGACAGCAGTTAGAAAAATCTGTGAATCACTTTTTTTAAAATCATATTCATTGAAACTACCAATAAATAAATAGATATTGTTAATTCGAGGGTATCATAAATTTTGCAACTTTTTAGCTGACTACAATTGATATTGTTTGGTATCGTTATTTTTTTTTAGCTAAAATCGCATCTTTTATTCTAAATTTAATACTGTTTAAGTATTGACAAAGAAGCTGGTTGCCTGTGTACTGTCACTTGAATTCGTATTGGCTTTGAATGGAGGATGACATACAGTGGAAAATAAAAACTAGAGCAGAACAAAAGATAAAAGTCGAACAAGAGAACAAAATCGGAAGTTGTAGCGAAGCATTATGGGTGTTTTTTTATTTATTTATTTTTTTTTTTGTTTTTGTTTTTCTTTGGAAGTAAGGGATTCAAAAGGAAACCATTGCTAGTCCAACACACGCCCTTGCCAATATATCCAGTCAGGATAACGAAAAGCGACAACTAGAATCCGATCAATTCTTGGAATTCTTCAAGTTTTTCATCACCGGGACGTGACCGCATTTGGCCATCTATATCACTCGCCCTGCAAATCTATGCCCACCGCTCAACGCTTACTGTTGGCTCGCATTCATTTTTTCCCCATCATTCCCTGGCAAATCATGGCGCAGAATCTCACCTTTGACCATGTGCAATACACCCGAGCCTTGCTTGGCACAAGGCGCCGAATGCTGATAACTGTGTCTGGAATATTGATATACTTTGGCTTTCATTCTTGCATTTCTTTGTATCTTTCTTTCTTTTGACAGGTCATTTTTTTTTCCTTTCTTCTGTTTTTCTTTTTGAAATTTCCCCTGATTTGTCTTATCTCTCTTGTCGTCTCGACCTTTAATTCAGTAAATCATTGCTTGTCTCCCTTGAAGCTTCACATACACCTTATCACTTATCCTTCTCCTACTGGCGTCTTACTTGATTTCATGTGTGTTGTCAATGTTGGTTAATTTAAAACGCTTATTGTTAACAAGGACAAACAAGTTTTCATTCTCTGTATTTTATTTATTTTATTCATTCGTTCATTCATTGATTTACTTGAGATGCCTTTTATTTTTTTTATTTTCATTATTTATTTTCTTCTTTCATTAATTGTTTTACTTTTGTTTTCAATTTCGTATTCCTTTTCATTCCCAATTTTCTAGCCTCTTTTCTCTTCATTAAAAATTCCATTTGATCGCCGCCTTTATTTTTCATTATCTTTTATGTTCTTATATGTTATTACTCTAATATTAATTATTCTGAATAGGAAACTGCTTAGCGCGATTGTTCATCGGCACATGTTATATTCATTAATGTGGTAGCAGAACTGAATGACGTTGGCCTTGTGTCAGTTTGGACTTAGTAAAGTCATTTGGTGTTGTTTAACTTATCCTTAAATGTCCTTGTAAAATAACATTGTAACAGAATAAACAAAGTTTAGCAAATAAAAACAACGTCTGTTCAATCTTAATTTGAGTGTGCACTTAGTTTCATGAATAACGACATAGTGAATTCGACTCTAGTTTTGTCTTGTTTCATACTATAATAAAAATAATAAATAATTTAGTGTAATCGGTTCTATGGAAAATGCAAAAATCCAAGAGAAAGTAATAAAGGAAAGAAATATAAAAGGATAAATTATTTATTAAATGAACACAGATTATTTTAAATATAGGCACTTCAGAAGGTACCAGAGGGAGTTGTCATTGATGTAAATTGACTTCGTTCATCAAGGTGTTTCGGGTCTTTTAATATCATACACCCCATCACCAAGCCGACCCAATCAGGGGAGACCAAGCTCTGATTCCCGCCTCTGCAATCAAACACTAACAGAGACTCTGGCCTTTATAATAAATTGGACGAAAGTAGACCACGTTTCCCCGCACCCGATTGGATGTTTGTAACAACCAATCCACTGCGCAGACTGACATTTTAAATGGTCCACGGAGGGGACTGGTTCTTTTTTTTTTTTTTTTTTTTTTTTTAACCTCCGGTGGATAGTAGCTTCAGTGGATAACCTAGGAGATAATTTAACATTCTTAAATTTAACTATCTATGCTGCTTCCCAAACAAGTTTAGTGCCTTACTCTAATAATTTACGGTTTTGATTTTTTAAATTTCTACAATAAAATTCTAAACATTATAGCATCAGTAGTGGAGGGAAAAAACTCAACCTTACTATCACATTTTTATAAATATCAAACTGATTCCTAACATTATTGTAGGTCAGTTGTCGTTTTTAAGGGCGTATTCCCAAGTTTTCACATTTATAGTCGTCAGCAAAAGGGACAACTCAAGGTTAGAGAAATCAGGTTCAAGTAGGTACATCAAGTTTTAATATCTCACAGACGTCAGAAAATAAGTCACGAAGGTCTCTGGGATTGCTCCCACTTAGCTTGCCAAAACGCCGTTAGTGGCGCTATTTAAGAAGCTAGAAAAACAGAGCACTTCCAGTTTCTAATTTTCCTGCTATTCTCTCGGCATACTGTAGTAGCAACACCAACACGGGACTCGTCTCTGGATGGCCACATACAATACTAATAAACACAATTCCTAATAACTAGATTGTAAAGTCCTCTTTCTTTCCAGCTATTTTTGCCTATATTCAAGTATATTTTATATCTCGTTAATCCTTTATTAGCCATATATATAACACATGAAAATGTCGCCTTGTTGAAATCTATCCCATTTGCTTTCATACTTACAAGTAAATACAACACGTCGTTTACATGTTTAAATTTTGTTTGCCACTTCATTTAGTTCTACGAGGCACGTCTACCGCAAAGGATCAGAAGTTGTATTGTCAGAGATAAAGATGTCTTTAAGAATTTAAAAAAAAGAGTATTAAAAGATTAAATGTGTTCGAAACAAATAAAAAGAGTGCTGACCTGTTACTTCATATCTATCCTAAGATGTCAGTGGATGCAAGACAATTCCATCAAAGCTGAAGATGAGACTTCAAATAACAGAGATATGGTTCTACAAAAGGATGCCAAGATAAACATGGTCAGAACGTGCGACCCTTAAAGAAAAACGCAGTTATACTTACAATCGGAATGAGACAAATTTTCTGAGGAGATATAATGATAATAAAAGCTCAGTGAGATCGAGAAGAACAGATGAAAAAAGTGAATAAGTTAACGAACGAATTCATATAAATGGATGGCAGGCAGGGTAGGAACTGGGAGGAATAGTTTAGCTGTAAGTTGCTTAGTGTTACAAAGGGCAGGAAAATTGTGGAGAGCCATAACCACCCATATTCTAAACTGTTAGGGCATGTAAAGCAGAAAGAACGAGTTCGAACCTCGTTGAGTGTATTTATGTTTGGTAAATTACTATTTATTTTATAAAGACTTGAAGCGGCAAATATGTTTTTCTAGCGACAGATTTAGAGAATAAAATGCTTAGATTATTTAAGGAAAATAGGTACTACATTTTAAAAGAAACTAAGAAACAGAGGGCGGAAACATTTTGGAACTCGTAATGAAGAAAGAATGTCTGGAGAGTTAAACACTAACAGGACATAATGAAGAGAAAAGTAACAGGTAGATGCAATAGTAACCTACTTAAGGAGTGTAACTAGACGGCAGAAAAAGGACATTTACGTCAATGGGTCAAAAATTACAATGGCGTAGGGAAGAAGACAGAATAATTATAGGTTTCTTTGAATCTTTTATTCTTCTTTCTCTGACTCTCAGCTCAATTTTCAGTCGGAATTATTTTCTATTCTACATTTACTGCGCCGTTTGTTGAAAGGCTCAAGAAAATTCATTCTCGTTTTAGTTACTCCTCACTCTCTGACAGCTCATATTTCAGTCGGAGTTTATCGTCTCTCACAAAAGATGATCACAAATTACTTATCCTTTTTATTTCTGTCATTGTCTGCTTTGCTTTTGTTCCATTTCTTTTGTATGTCTACTCATGGCTCGAATTTTGCTTCCTTTTCAATCTTCACTGATCTCAATTTATTTTACTTAATTTTTCATTAATATATGAAGTCGTCGTGATTTTTACTCACATTTGTTTATGTTTAAACATAACTTTTCGTGTTTTTAATCATTCATTTATTTTTCCTTTACTGTGCTTCGTTTTGTATTTTTCGCCTTTTTAATTTTTGGTTTATCACAGGTTTTCTTTCTTTTATTTTTTCAGTGATAGGTTTTATTTCTTTTTTTTTTTCTTCCTTTCTTCTGTCTCACGTTTCTTTGTCATTAATTTTTTGTTAGTTTGTGTGTTTCATTCTTTATTAAGTTATTTATCTGTCTATCTATCGATCGATCGAAGATTGTGTTTCTTTCTTTTAATATTTTTCGTTTTTTTCTCTCTTTTCTAGATGTATTGCTCATTAATTTTTATTTCTTTCTTCTTTAGTTTCTTTCTATCTATCTATCTATCTGTTTTTTCTTTCTTAAAATTTTCTATCTCTCTATTAGATTTTCTTTCTTTTTCTTTCTTTCTTAAAGTTTCTATCTATCTATTACATTTTTTCTTTTTCTTTCTTTTTTAAAGTTTCTATCTATTTATCTGTCTGTCTATCTGTCTATCTATGTATATATCATGTTTTCTTTCTTTCTTAAAGTTTCTGCCTATCTATCTATCTATCTATCTATCTATCTATCTATCTATCTGTCTGTCTGTCTGCCTGTCTATCTGTCTATGTATATATCATGTTTGCTTTCTTTGTTAAAGTTTCTATCTATCTATCTATCTATCTATCTATGTATATATCATGTTTTCTTTCTTTCTTAAAGTTTCTATCTATCTATCTATCTGTCTGTCTGCCTGCCTGTCTATCTGTCTATGTATATATCATGTTTGCTTTCTTTGTTAAAGTTTCTATCTATCTATCTATCTATCTATCTATCTATCTATCTATCTATCATGTTTTCTTTCTTTCTTAAAGTTTCTATCTATCTATCTATCTATCTGTCTGCCTGTCTGTCTATCTGTCTATGTATATATCATGTTTGCTTTCTTTGTTAAAGTTTCTATCTATCTATCTATGTATATATCATGTTTTCTTTCTTTCTTAAAGTTTCTGTCTATCTATCTATCTATCTATCTATTTATCTAAGTTTTCTTTCTTTCTTTCATGCATCGCTTACATATTTTCATCCTCTCAATACTCTTATTTCTCTCTAACCATTATCGAAGCCATTTTATTTTACAATAAGATGATATCTTCCAGCATTTTCATTCTCTTCGCTTTCCTTCTGTTGCACATTCTTTTTTGCGTCTTTTCCTTTCTAAACTCTTCTCTCACCAAATCTTCCAATCCTATCGACCCCCCCCCTCTTCCCATTCTTTCTTAGATTCTCTCTTATTCTTTTCTTCAACTATTTTCAAAAATTTCTTTCTGTATTTTCCTTTTATTCCGTGCCTCGATTTCCTGCCATTTTATTTGTTATTACTGCAATTCTCCATGTATAATACGCCTTCATCCATAATACGATCACCAAAATTTGTGCTGAAAGTGTGGGAAAATGCTTCTACTCACGCATAATACGCACCCCTTGTTTGGTAATCCTATAAATTGTACCTCTCTAGTTGAATTACGGCCGGAGTTTCCTACTCTTATTTAAAAATGGTTTTAAACATAGAATAATATTCTAATTTAGTTTTATGATAATTCTTATTTTATTTTACATTTGTAAGTATTGTTAGGTACATATAATTGCATTTGACATCCTTATGGGGTCACAATCGCCGAATTTTAGAATCAAACTGTCGTATGTTTGTAGTGAGTAGTCATTTCACAACTGAAATCGGCCTATGAAATTTTTTAATTTTTTCAATATTTTTTGCAGATGTGCACCCCTAATTTTTCTTATTACTTTTAGGAAAAAAATACGTATTATGAGGAATTACGGTACTTCTTCGTACATGTTCCATGCTTTTCTTCCCTTTTAGTCCATCTTTTAGACAGTTTTCGTCTTTCTGATGTCTTTGGTAAATGCCAAAGAATCAAGTGTCAATTGAAGAGAGTAGAAGAGACGCTGGAATTGGCCGATCAACTTCACCGTGACAATTCCAGTTCTAATAAGTGCCGAATAAAGAATAGAAGTCGCTGATTTCCTGTAGTGTCTCCCTTTCACGTGATACATCCTAAATTTAGCAATTCCGTCTTGAACAACGTCAGGCGATGTTCACAAACCGATCCAAGAATGAGATCGAAAAGATTTGAGAGTTTGATTGAAGCTTGTTAAACCGGACGTTTAAATGTATTTTTTCTTTTCATATCTAGAAGAGGAACATATAAAAAAAAGAAGATAAAGTAAAGGGCGATAGAAGAAGAAGGTAAAAAGGGAAGAATTAGTAAAACGAAAGTGGATCATTAAAGGAGAGGAAGATAAATAAAAAGATGGCGCCTAAAAAGAAATAATCTAAAAAACGAAAGAGGAGTCTGAGAGAAGAAATGAAAAGAAAAGGAACGGAAGGAGGAGTATCTAATAAGGAAAGAAATGTAAAGAGGAGTATTAAATAATAAAAGGGAAGGAAAATGACGTAGCTAATAAGGAAAGAGAAGAGGAGTATAAAAAAAGAAGAAATGTAAGGAGGGGCATTAAATGCAAAAAAACGAAGGAGTATTCAAGAAAAGCTGCGAGCCTACGCATATCGAAGACGAGTACGGAATGATGGAGGAGTAATAAAGACAAAAAAAGAGGAGTATGGAAGATAAAAACAAGGAAATAGGAATATCGAAGAATCAAAAGAAAGACAGAAGGAGTACCGAAGATAAAACAAAAGGAAAAGGAGTAGCAAATAATCAAAGGAAAGAGAGAAGGAGTATCGAAGATGAAACCAAAAGAAAATGGGAGTATCCAAGAATCAAAGGAAAGACAGAAGGAGTATCGAAGATAAAACAAAAGGAAAAAGAGTAGCAAATAATCAAAGGAAAGACAGAAGGAGTATCGGAGATGAAATCAAAAGAAAATGGGAGTATCCAAGAATCAAAGGAAAGACAGAAGGAGTATCGAAGATAAAACAAAACGAAAAGGAGTAGCAAATAATCAAAGGAAAGACAGAAGGAGTAACGAAGATAAAACAAAAGGAAAAAGAGTAGCAAATAATCAAAGGAAAGAGAGAAGGAGTATCGAAGGCGAAACCAAAAGAAAACAGGAGTATCAAAGAAGAAAATGAAAAAAGGTAGCGATATCGAAGACGAAAAAAAATGAAAGAGGTGGATCAAATTTAAAAAATGAATGAGAGGATTATCAATGATTAAAACAGAAGGAAGGAGTATCAAAGAAGAAAAAGAAAAGGAATGAGGAGTATCAAAGGAGAATTGTCAAAATATAGAAACAGATAATAAGGGTAATAAAAAATGAGTAATATGAAAGACGAGATAGAGGAAAAATAATATGGTAAAAGAAGGTGAGAGTGGCAGAGAAAGAGAAAGAGATAGAGAGAAAGAAAGAGAGAGAAAAGGAAAGAGAAAGCAAAAAGGAAGGAGTAGAAAAACAGGAAATACATGATAAAGAAGGAAAAGAGTAAAAAGGAACAAAAATAAAATAGTAGTAGAAAGCGTAATGTGACCAATCTATATAAATCTATATAATAATAATAATAATAATAATAATAATAATAATGATATTATTATTATTATTATTAATATTATTATATTTTCTTTGATTTCTGGCGTTTACACATTTCTTTCCGGGTCCCTTGAGGGACCCTAAAGGTTAGAAATGGCATCATGACACTTTCCACTGACAAAAAAAAAAAAATTACATAGATAAAGCCCTTCGTAAAGTGTGGGCTGTACTTGTCAGAACAATTTTTTGTATCTCCTTTAGGGATGGACTTCCAGGAATCCCTTCAATTAGTCTACTGTAATCTTTTCCAACCAGTCCTAGGTCTCCAACTACAACAGGGATTGTTGATGTTCCCATATGCCACATTTTCGAGATTTCTATTTCAAGGTCCTTGTATTTTGACAACTTTTTGAATATCTTCAAAGATACATTGCAGTCAGCAGGGACTGCCATATCAATAAGGAGGCACCGTTTTTGTTTGTGGTCTTTAATAACAATATCTGGCCGGTTGGCCTTGATTGTTCTGTCAGTGTGTATTGTGTAATCCCATAGAATTGTAACAGGTCCTATCTCCGTAACCGGGTCTGGGTGGTGTTCATACCAGTTTTACTATTATTATTATTATTATTATTATTATTATCTATGTCCATGATGGCTACAGGCGGCATGATTTTCATGAAAGCTAATCATAACTGATTAGAGTGTTACAATCTATATGCACTTTTTTTTGGGGGGCGAATCAAGATGAGTAAAGATGTAATACAATCAACCTGTTGTCTAGGGCCAACATATATACATATGTTGGCTAGGGGCCTAGAGCCGCCACAATGTACCTTCGGCTACATGAGTGGGAGTAGCCGCAGGTATCATAGCCGTATATTTATGTTCTTTTTTAAGTTTAAAGTGTTAGGCAGCCAAGGCGACTTGAGAGACATATTTTTATGTTTGTGTACACACTCATTCGGAGGCTGGCCTAGCCGGGATTCCCTCCTTGCAAATATTTCTAAAAGGATCGCACCCATCATGTATGTGCTGCTTTTATTGAAACTGTATCACGCAAATAATGCTATGAAGATTCGGGTGTAACAGCAAAATTGCCCAATTGTTAGATTAAGCTATGAAATATCTTACTGGAATTCCTTTGGGCTCTACTTTGAGCAATAAGAAGATATAATTACTCTCAGTTGGGTCAGGTTTCCATCCTGGCTTGAAGCATTCGGTGGTCTAGTCGCATTGATGACCTGTAGAACAAGTATATATATATATATATATATATATATATATATATATATATATGTGTGTGTGTGTGTGTGTGTGTGTGTGTGTGTGTGTGTGTGTATGTGTGTGTGTGTGTGTGTGTGTATGTGCGTGTGTGTGTGTGTATTTTTGGTTATGACGTTTTGCAAAATAATTGATTTTCCTGTATTATAATTATATGAACGTATGTTAAAGGAGGGTTTAATTCAATTTATTTTGTTTAAATGTCACCCCAGCACAAAATTTCTAAAATTGTATGTAAGTATAGTAGTACTATGACTTTCTGGGACCTTCTAGAAATTTCTGAAGCTTTCTAGAACTTTATGGAACCTTCTAGAACTAGTGTTTGTTTATTTGTATGTTTGTATGCTACGTTATAGCTATAAACTGAAAAATGCGTTTAAAATATATAAGTACGTTCTAATTACATTTGTAACGTCCCCCGGGTGTCGCCGCTCCAAATGTGACGTCCGCTTGTCTGCGTCAGTCGTGCTTTCCTGTCTTGTGACGACCAACTGGCTTGGTATTGGTGGCGGTACCAAATGTGACGTTCTAACCTTTTGGTGATTCGGATGGGAATCTGGTTAGATTCGGTATCAGCCTCGTCGTTCCCAGCTCGCTTCCAACGTCTGGTTACCGAAGTAACTGCTTTGATTTCTAGTCTAACCTACCCACGTTGTGAATTGATCTAGGCAGACGAAATCAATCAGTCGCTGGGCCGTACTGCAAGCCGAGTTCGAATAAGGGTGATATCGCACAAGTCTATGTAAAAGAAAAGAAAATAATAACTCTAAAAGTTCAAATGTGTTAAAAAAAGGATAACAATACTTTATATCTGGTTGCTGAGTACAGGACTACGTCTTTCTCTCAAACCGCTATATGGATTCGTGACACTTTGTTTTTGTTAGGCGAGTCTTAACATCTTAAGTTGTTTGTTCTTTTGGGAAACTGGTTCTTGGTGTGTCTTCAGACGAAATTCGTAAAACTTGTTTTGGTGGTGTGAGTCTAAGTCGTTCTTCAAAAATAAATTGTTCTTGGTTAGAAGATGAGTCGGAATTGCGTGAATCTTTCAAGTCAGCTATCTGCGAGCCGGGACCAACTTCCACTGCGAACTTCGAACTCCAACTCGAACTGAAAACTTAACTGGAACTCAACTGGAACTGATTTTCACTCGCTGCGACTTTGCTTATATGGACGCCGACCAAAACCGGGTTGGGCTTGTCGGGGTTTGAGGTTCCTTGATAATTCCCAACCCACAATCCACTTCTTTGCTTTCGGTCAGGAAAATTTTATTCTTTTCCATTTTTGGAAGTCTTCCCGTCCTCCCACATTCTTCTGTTCTCATATTGG